TCTCAAAAGACAAACAAACAAACAATGGATTACAGACTTGCAGCCAGTTTTCATAACTCTGCCCTTCCTGCTTGGGCTGGCAACTTGCTCTTAGAAATCTATTGTATCTGGTGTTTAAACAAATCCGCTATACTCCCTGGAACACAAGATTGATATTTCAGTGAAGCTTCTGATGTGACCTAAAAATAGTATTTAGACACAGGTGCAGCTTTCATTATCCTTTTGGTACTGACTGGGCCATGTAGCTTCTTGTCTTCACTACCTTGAAAAGGAAGTGGGAATGGCAGCCAAACCCTTTTTCTTTTCCGAGGTGACCTAAACATTTAGATGGAAACCTCAAGAGGTGTCGGTGTTTTCCTTCTGTGTCCTCTCTATAGTTAAACCCCAAGATTGGTGCCAGTGTCTGGGATGTATTCTTTAAATGTCATGATGTTAGGTTTATAACCGAGCCCATGCTTTTGGACTCTTTAAAAAGATTTAAATCTTTAGCTACTATTTTGTGTGTCAAGATTATTCTGATATTACCGGAGCTCTACTTGGAGTTGAAAAGAAATGCTGTCAAAATCAGCTGTCCGTATAAGACAGAAGCGTTATCCTTAACCTACCAGATTAAAACCATTTCCCAGGTGACCCAAGCTTGAAAAGTGGGAATGGCATCCCCAGCCGTTGTGTGTATTTGGAAGAAATGGCGGTAGACCTGGAAGATCAAGACTGGCTTGATATGAACAATGTTGAGCAGGTACCATTCTTATTTTTTTTCTTATGCCTTCAGCAAAAATTGGCCACTTTTCTGCAACCATGACTTTACTTAGCTCCATCTCTTAACGTTGTTTGTGGTGTGCCTCTTTTGCAATCTTCTCATTTACCAGGGCCACATATCCAGATATACCCTTTCTTTAAGGCCCAGTTAAAATGCCATCTTATTTATGAAGCCTTGCCAAGTAGGAGTTGTTATTCTCTCCTCTGAATTCCTGGAGTAATCTATCTATGCCTCTCTGATGGGAATTGTCACCTTCTGTCACATGTAGTGGCTTTTTTATGTACCTGTCTTATCTTCCCTATCAGATCTTTAACTTCTCGAGGGCAGGGCCCATGCCTTTCTTCTTCATATCGTTTGCAAAATCAAACAGTGTGTTTTGCCTTATAAGTGCCTAATGAACATTAAAGGAATAAGAGTTTGCTAGGGAAGATACTCCACAACTTGTAGTTTAACCTTCTGTGTTTAAATTATCTTTATGTAAGTCTGAATGAGGCCAGCAATCACACAGAGAAGTAGATTACGTATATAAGTTGAATCGTTAATTCTCCACACCATTCGACAAATCTGTTTTCGTGCTTACTCTGTGCCAGGCTTATACTAGACAGACACTTGAACTCTGTTTAGGATAACTGTACGGTTGCTCCTTGAACAACATGGGAGTTAGGGGCAGTTGAAAATTTGCATGTAACTCATGACTCCAAAAACTTAACTAGAAGCCTACTGTTGACCAGAAGCCTCACCGATAACAAACAAAGTCAGTTAGGGAAAAGAAAATATTACAAAGAAAATCATAAGCAAGAGAAAAAAATACATTTATGATAGCATTCTGTATTTATCAAAAAAAATCCACGTCAAACCCATATTGTTCAAAGATCAACGGCATAGAGGTGCTAGGTGGCTCAGTCAGTTGAGCATCTGACTTCAGCTCAGGTCACAATCTCACGGTTGGTGGGATCGAGCCCCGCATTAGGCTCTGCGCTGACAGCTCAGAGCCTGGAGCCTGCTTCAGATTCTGTGTCTCCCTCTATCTCTGCCCCTCCCCCACTCACACTCTGTCTCCATCTCTTAAAAATAAATGTTAAAAAAAATTTTTTTTAAAGCAAAGATCAATAGCATATACAGTTATATTTACATATATAATACTTTCTAAAGTAGTAAGTGGGATCCTTTATTCCCCCTTCACTCTACATCCTGTGATTCTCACAATAACCTGTGTCCAGATTACCTTTTCATATTGATGTTTTAAGATGAATTCTGCAGTTGCTTAGTGTTTTGTTTATATGTTTTTCTTAAAGGCTGTCTTCGCTCGCTTATTACTTCAGGATCCAGGCAACCACTTGATTAACATGACTTCTTCCACAACATTGAATCTCTCTGCTGATCGAGATGCAGGGGAGAGGCACATTTTTTGTTACCTTTATTCCTGCTTCCAAAGAGCTAAGGAAGAGGTAAAGGAATACTCGCTATTGAGAACTGTGTGGTCATCTTGGGTTTGACTTCAATATGTAAGCCAGAGAGTTGGATCACTGGCTTTTTATGTCAGTTTATATACATCATATTATATCTGGAACTAGATATTACAGGCACTATTTGATGTCTAAAACTTTAGTCTCTCCTTTCTGTGGCTTGGGGTCTACTCCTTTCCCTAATTAACCAGTATCCCCTGTTCTCTTTACAAACCTCTTAAAAAATCATACTGTTGGGAGCACCTGGGTGGTTCAGTTGGTTAAGTGTCTGACTTCAGTGCAGGTCATGATCTCACAGTCCGTGAGGTCATCCCCCATGTTGGGCTCTATGCTGACAGCTGAGAGCCTGGACCCTGCTTCAGATTCTTGTGTCTCCCTCTTTCTCTCTCTCTCTCTCTCTCTCTCTCTCTCTCTCTCTCTCTCTCTCTCTCTCTCTCTCTCTCTCTCTCTCTCTCTCTCTCTCTCTCTCTCTCTCCCCCTCTCCTTCTCTCCCCCTCTGCCCCTTCCCCACTCATACTCTCTCTCTCAAAAATAAAACATTAAAAAAATCACATCCTTGAAGCACATAGGTGGCTCAGTCAGTTGAATAACTGACTCTTGATTTCAGCTCAGGTCATGATCTCACAGTCGTGGGATCAAGCCTCGCATTGGGCTCTGTACTGGGTGTGGATCCTGCTTGGGATTCTCTCTCTCCATCTCCCCCTGCCCCTACCCCACTCATGCTTTCTCTCTGTCTCTCTCAAAATAAATAAACCTAAAATTTTAAAAAAGCATGCCTTTAGGGGCACCTGGGTGGCTCAGTCAGTTAAGCGTCCGACTTCAGCTTAGGTCATGATCTCATGGTTCGTGGGTTCAAGCCCCACGTCGGGCTCTGTGCTGACAGCTCAGAGCCTGGATCTTGCTTTGGATTCTGTGTCTCCCTCTCTCTCTGCCCTTCCTCATCCACGTTCTGTCTGCGTCTCTTAAGAATGAATAAACGTTTAAAAATTTCAAAAAAAAAAAGCATACCTTTAGAAAAGGTCTGGGGGAAAATAAAAGGTCTAATAAATTCATTTCCACCAAAGTATAAATAATAGAGTAGTCTAAGCTTGGTCACTTCTAGGATTAGAATCCTAGCAGGTAGGTGATTCCTTAAACCAAAGGATGAACTCTCCTGAATTTTCAAGCATCCACGGGACAGCAGTATTGTTTGGGAATACATTGTCTTTTTCATTCTATTTGTTGTGTCTTCCTTTGTTCAAGTCATAGAGCTAGACTCTCCCCTCTCTTCTTCATTCTGTTTCCAGATTACCAAAGTTCCAGAGAACCTGCTCCCCTTTGCAGTACAGTGCAGGAACCTCACTGTGTCCAATACCCGAACAGTTCTCCTCACCCCAGAGATCTATGTTGACCAAAACATCCATGAGCAACTGGTAGATTTGATGTTGGAAGCCATCCAAGGAGCCCGTGAGTACATAAGCAAGATTTGTGCATTTCTGCATTCTGACTTCACAATTTAAAATTCCTCTAATTGCTTTAGAAAGCCTCAGAGCCACTACGGTGCCAGAAGAGAGCTCATAACTTGACCTTTGGGGTTCAATACCAGTGGAATTATCAGAAGTATGAGAAAAGTAGAGATCCATTGTGTAAAAGCATGTAAAAATTGCTGTGCACTTCTGCTCTCATTTGTCATCTGTTAGATTTTGAAGATGTAACTGAGTTTCTGGAAGAGGTCATTGAAGCCTTGATATTGGATGAGGAAGTTCGAACATTTCCAGAAGTCATGATTCCAGTGTTTGATATTTTATTGAGCCGAATAAAAGACCTAGAACTCTGTCAGATCCTGTTTTATGCATATCTGGATATTCTTCTCTATTTCACTAGGCAGAAAGATATGGCAAAGGTAAGTCTGAAAAGTGGTATGTATTCATTTGAGCTGGACGTTTACTACTTTATGCATCCCTATCGTGAGGGCATTCAAATATTCCCTATCAAATAAAAGAAAGATACACTGGCCGTTGTATAGACTTAACTCTTTGAGACCCTCTCATCTCACCACCTTTATCTCCTCATACAGATAAATAAGGACTTGTTTTCTTTTATAGGTTTTTGTTGAATACATTCAGCCCAAGGACCCTAGCAATGGGCAGATGTACCAGAAGACCTTGCTGGGAGTAATCCTCAATGTCTCCTGCTTACTAAAGACTCCGGGTGTAGTAGAAAATCATGGCTACTTCCTGAATCCATCTCGTTCCAGTCCCCAGGAGATCAAAGTGCAAGAGGCCAACATCCATCAGGTGGAACTGTTTACCACTGTATCCCAGTGCCCTGATCTTAGATTAAGTCGAGTTTCCTCGGGAAGCAGATGCAGATAAGGCTGCTTGAGCCTCTTTGGGAAAGCAGATTGATCTGCTTGGCTTTCTACTGTAATCATGTAAAGAAATTGTCCTCTTTTTAGCATGGGTGAAGGAAGAGGAGAAATCTGTGTGCGGTTTAAGAGTAAGCTGCTGCTCTTCTGTGGCACAGCACTTCCTCTCATTGTTGCCTTCATTGTTGTCACTAAGCTCTTTTTTTTATTTTATTTATTTTTGAGAGAGACAGAGAGACAGAGACAGAGCATGGGTGGAGGGAAGGGCAGAGAGGGAGATACAGAATCCAAAGCAGGCTCCAGGCTCCAAGCTGTCAACACAGAGCCTGATGCAGGGCTCAGACCCACAAACCGCGAGATCATGACCCGAGCCGAAGTCGGACGTTTAACCGACTGAGCCACCCAGGTGCCCCACCACTAAGCTATTTCTTCCAACCTTAGCTCCTAAAATCTTGGGCTGAACTCCAGCTTATAAACCATTTTTTTCCCTTTCTTTCCTTCCACATGGCTTCTTAGTGTAATTTATAGTAGAAGTCTGGCCAACATGAGGCAGTAAATGGTTGAGTCAGGGGTGGTTTAAATCCCCCATCATCGCACTCTAAGGCATGGATTGACAAATTACTGCAGTGGCCAGATCCGACCTGCTACCTGTTTTAGTAAATAGTTCTATTGAACATCGCTATGCCCATTCATAAATGTATTTGTGGCTTGATTTCATGCCACAGTGGTAGGGTCCAATAGTTGCCACACCTACCACATAGCTTGCAAAGCCGAAAATATTTATCACCTGGCCCTTTGCAGACAAAGTTTACTGACCCCTACTCTAAAGCTACATGAATGCGATGTGCGGTTTGGCAGCTCCTCAGGGAATCTCTCATAAGTGCCCGCAATTTTTTTTTTTTTTTTTTTTAATCAGAACTAGGGCATAAAGCACAGGGAGAGTGAGGGAAAAGATTAGGATTAGGTTATTTTTGGAAATTGCCAGGGGCTAAGGTTTGGGAGTAACAAATACGAGGATTGTGAAAGTGGAATGTTCTGTGGTTGTGTTTTCTGGTTAAACAGTTCATGGCTCAGTTCCATGAAAAGATCTACCAGATGCTGAAGAACTTACTCCAGCTCTCTCCAGAAACCAAACACTGTATCTTGGCCTGGCTTGGAAACTGTTTGCACGCAAATGCAGGCCGCACCAAGATTTGGGCCAATCAGATGCCAGAAATCTTCTTCCAAATGTATGCCTCGGATGCCTTCTTTCTGAATCTGGGTGCTGCTCTCCTGAAGCTGTGCCAGCCATTTTGCAAACCCAGATCCTCTCGGCTCCTCACCTTTAATCCCACCTACTGTGCCCTGAAGGAGTTGAATGATGAAGAACGAAAAATTAAAAATGTACACATGAGAGGTAGGGGAGCACTGGGCTTTTCAAGACTGTGTGTGTGTGTGTGTGTGTGTGTGTGTGTGTGTGTGTGTGTGTAACATCTAAGGCGTTCACTTTTATCCTTTTTCACAAAGGTGCTTCTTTCTCAAGATGAGGCAGAAAGAAGAGCTGGTATAACTAAGATGTTTAAAAAAACTGGTAGCTTTTAGATGTTGTGCCTTAGTGACACCCTTCTGAATTTAGCAGCCTTGGGTATTGATTGATTCATTCTTTCTAAAAATAAAGAAAGCACAATCCCTGTTTTGTGTTTTGACCCAAAGTCTCCAGAAGAAGGCAGATAATATTAACAGATGATCATAATATGGTGTAGGGCTTAACTATGGGAGCACAGAGGAAGGAGTGAATAGTAAATTCCACAGAAGGTGGAAGCCTTCGTGGCCGAGTCTGGAAAGATGAGTTGGGTTTAAAGTATGAAGGTACAAAGCTATGAAAGGCCTGGCTGGGGAATAGTGGGAAAGCTCGGTGGGTCTAGAACAGGGGGGAAAGGCATTCGGGGCAGGGATATGGGAATTGGCAGGAAATGAGACGAGGGCGGGAGAATATTGGGGCCGGTTTGGAGAAAACAATGCAGAGAAATCAAAATATAAGTCATTCAAAATGAATCACTCTTTAAAAAGAAAGAAAAGGGGCGCCTGGGTGGCGCAGTCGGTTAAGCGTCCGACTTCAGCCAGGTCACGATCTCGCGGTCCGTGAGTTCGAGCCCCGCGTCGGGCTCTGGGCTGATGGCTCGGAGCCTGGAGCCTGTTTCCGATTCTGTGTCTCCCTCTCTCTCTGCCCCTCCCCCGTTCATGCTCTGTCTCTCTCTGTCCCAAAAATAAATAAACGTTGAAAAAAAAAAAAAAATTTAAAAAGAAAGAAAAAACGAATCACTCCTAATTTTGGCGTATTCTCTCTCAGTTTTGTGACTCTTCTAATTATAAAAGCGATACCTGCTCAAAAGCAAGTAATCTTAAATACAGAAAAGCACAAATATATACAGATGATCCACTGTCTATCACTGGGAAAAACTCCAGTGTTTTCTATGTTTGTTTTTTAAAAGAAATTACTAACAAAAACAACAAAAACAAAACAAAAAAAAATTTTTTTTTTTTTTTTTAAACCCTCACTGATAGCGGTATGGAAGTTGAGCTAGAGGAAGGGGACACTGGAGACCCCAGACAGAAGTCCGTGCCGAGTCATTTACTGTTCCTTTTACCCTCTTTGAGGTTTGGACAAAGAAACTTGTTTGATCCCAGCTGTGCAGGAGCCAAAGTTTCCCCAGAACTACAACCTTGTGACGGAGAACCTTGTCCTGACAGAGTACACCTTGTACTTGGGATTTCACAGGTAACTGTTCTGATATGATTAAGAAAGAACTGTTTCGTGGCGTTGATAACCAGGAGGTTGAAAGTGAGTCTCCCTTTAGTCTGCACGCTCCCATTAGGATCTCATAGGAATGGGGTTTGTACGCGTTTGTGTGTACATGAGTTGGCTTTATCCAAATAACCTGAATTTACTTTTCATTCTTGACCTGCTACACTTCTCAAAAAGTAAAAACGCACTACTATTTTTCTCTAAACTTGAAATTTTGTAAATCGCTGTCTTCCTGTTGTGATCTGTGATAGTGGAATTGTTTTCTTTTAACTTTCCACTTCCTGCTCTTGAATTTTCATGACTTACCACTCCTGATGGAAAAAAGACAAAGCTCTACTCTCTGATACAGGGACAAAATTGACAAAATTAAAGATGTTTGTATGGGATTCCAGTAAGATGAGTAGGACCACAAAAGATCAAAGATCAAAAGGATTCTAGAAGTGGGAACATTTAAGAACTGGAATGTCTGACTTCCAAAAATGGTTCTGGTTCTGGCTGGCCACAAGCCATTCTCTGATTTTCACCCCTCTGGTTTAACTGATTGTGAGTGCAAGTATAACTAAGGGAAGAAAGATGATACAGTCGGTAGGAAGAGGTCCTGAGGATAGCAGTTTTTAATGTCTTTTCAGGATACTTACATGGGCACAGAGCATGTTTTAAACCTCAGCAAATTTCTAGAAAAATGAGATTATATCTTTATCAGATAGTTTTTCTGTCCCTATCATTGACGTTTTATTTTTTTATTTTTTTTTTAATTTTTCTTTTAACATTTATTTATTTTGGGGACAGAGAGAGACAGGCGAACGGGAGGGTCAAGAGAGGGAGACACAGGAATCGAAACAGGCTCCAGGCTCTGCCAGCCCAGAGCTCCCACGCGGGCCTGGAATCATCGGACCATGAGATCGTGACCTGGCTGAAGTCGGACGCTTAACCGACTGCGCCACCCAGGCGCCCCTCATTGACGTTTTAAATGAGGTACTGGATAACAGTGCAGCTTGTGTTCAGCCTGTTCAATCACCTAGCTTCAGACCCAGGAATGAATGTCATCTGGTTTCCCCCATATTGGCTAGCTAACCCTAGACGCTATCTGTAGGACCAAAGAAGATGGCTTTGGACTGTACCCATAGAGACAGCTATCCATAACATTGAATTATGGGGCTTCCTTTCATTAGAGAACATTTGGCTGACCCTTTGTGAAGAACAATTTTATGTCGAACAGTAGAGGTGTGGAAGCTGTTCTCAGGTTGCATCCCAGGTGGCTGCCGGTTTATATGTGGTCGTTACTAATCTAGAGGCCTCTTTCACCAGCTTTAGTTCTCAACTAACCGTAGAAAGACTGTCCATATAACCACATCCAAGTAGAATCATTGCAACGGTACAGTGGCGAAGAATCCTGCTAGGCCTTTCGTACTTGGTCTCATAGTCATTTTACGTGATAACAGCCCCTTCTACTCCCTGTCCGGCCAAGCTGCTGTTCTTTGGACGGTGCATTTCAGCTGAAGTGTGCTATTTGTAATTAGCGTCACTTATGTCAAATACCGGGTAACATTTTCCCGACGCTATGACCCCTGCCCTGTCAGCGATTTTTGTGAGTGCCTTTTGTGTCATCACGATTGCAGCGCCCTATATCCTAAAAGAGAATACTAGAATAAGTAAATGAGGACTTGTTTTTCCAACAGTCTGTACTCAGCTGTCCTATATGAGGCTCCTGACCCGGTGTCTTCTGCTTTCTTGGGGGCAGGTTGCATGATCAGATGGTAAAAATCAACCAAAATCTGCATCGGCTGCAGGTTGCCTGGCGGGATGCTCAGCAGAGTTCTAGCCCTGCTGCTGACAGCCTTCGTGAGCAGTTTGAACGACTGATGACCATCTATCTTTCTACCAAGACTGCCATGACCGAGCCACAGATGCTACAAAATTGTCTGAATTTGCAGGTGTCCATGGCTGTTCTACTCGTTCAACTGGCCATAGGCAATGAGGGCTCACAGCCAATAGAGCTAACTTTCCCTTTGCCAGATGGCTACAGCTCTTTGGCTTATGTGCCAGGTAAGCAGGCTCTCCCTCGGGAACTGCCTATTTATAACTGTCTGAGTTTAACTGGGTCACTTCAGAAGTTTAATCCTCAAAATACCCTTTCCACTGTTTTTGGAGAAACAAATATGTAGCTACTATCTACTGGTCGAAGTATGGGAGAACTAACAGCTTTTTCCTCAGCCGTGTGTCCCCACTTCTTTGTGTATTAGAAAATAATCTTCAAAGGATTAAGTGCAGCCAGGGTTTTCAGAGCTGTTTAGTCTTAGCATTCATGTTGTTTTTGTTGTTCAGCATACAAATTTATCTGCATGCCTCGCCCAGTGCTATTCTTCAGAGGGAAAAAAAAATCACCTCCTGTTGGTTAACCCACAAGGGAGGTTTGTTGGTGTGGAGTTGGCCAATATTGTCCATGAAGATCAGGTTATGTGTTGTTGATCGCTGTATCGGTTATCTGTTGCTGAGTAACCAATCACCCTAAAACGTAGCACCTTAAAACAAACATTATCTCACACAGTTTTCTGAGGATCAGGAATCCAGGAGTGGCTTGGCCTCATGGTTCTGCCTCTGGGTCTTTTAGGAGGTTGCAGCCAAGCTGTCAGTCAGGGCCACAGGAATATGAGGACTCGACCAGGACTGGAGGATCTGCTTACAAGCCTGGTCATGTGGTTGTTGGCAAACCCTGATTGCCTCCTTTCCAGGTCACACGGATCTCTCCTGAGTACTGTTCGTAATATGGCAGCTGGCTTTCTCCAGAGCTAGTGACCAAAATGGAAGCTATAGGCTTTTATAACCTAACCATAGAAATGATACGCCATTGCTTCTGTATGCTTCTACCCTAGAAGAGTGTAGGAGGGGACACACATGGGCATGAATGCCAGGAAGCAAATACAATTGGAGGACCATCCTGGAGACTGATGACTATAGTCATCTAATCTAATGTATTCATCTTTATTAAAGATCGTGGGGGCGCCTAGGTGGCTCAGTCGGTTGAGTGTCCGACTTCAGCTTAGGTCATGATCTCACGGCTTGGCTCTTGAGTTCGAGCCCCGCATTGGGTTCTCTGCTGTCGGCATAGAGCCCACTTCATATCCTCTGTCCCCCTCTCTCTGTCCTTCCCCAGCTTGTTCGTTTTCTCTAAATAAATAAATAAATAAATAAATAAGCTTAAATAAATAAATAAAAGGTTATTTAATGCACAGTTAACCTTGAGTATGGAAAAGAATGTAAATCAGTGTAATTTCTTAAATTGCACTGGTGGGTTTAACAGTATTTTGTGTCTCTGCTATTCTCATATTTACTAGGATAGAAATAAAAATTGACTTAGATTTAAAGGAGATTCTACACTTATGAACTGGTCACCATTCCTAGCATCTACAAAACATTTGGGATTTTTTAACCTTTACTGGGTAGAGCAAAAGGAAGGAATTTCAGTATTGCTTAGTACAGAAGTTAGGTGTTTCACTAATTACATTGAGTATTTTCTCTTTCAGAATTTTTTGCAGATAACTTGGGTGACTTCCTCATTTTTCTCCGCCGCTTTGCTGATGACATCTTGGAGACGTCAGCAGATTCCCTGGAACATGTCCTCCACTTTATCACCATTTTCACTGGAAGCATAGAAAGGTGAAAGGCTGAGAGCTTGGCTCTTACACTGTTTAGAGGTGCACAACCAAGCAACGCACACGCCTGAATCATAAGGGGTTGCCTTCAGAAGTTGTGTTAGCATTAATGAATCACGTGGCCATCCTTATGGGTAGCCCACAAATCCCACCCTTGAGAGGCACAATAAGCAAAGGACTTCGCCCACAGAGAATTTGAACCTGCATGTAAGATACCTGATGGGAGTTCCACTGCTAGTCCCTGGTTAAAATAGTTCCCTTAATGCCAGAAACCTTACCAGCGGCAGGCAGCTTCTAATGAGCTAATAATTGTATGCTAACAAAGTTTACCCTTGAAATTCTGAGTTGCATGGGTAGTAAACATACGTAGATGCTTTCTGATCTCATCTTTTCATTCATAGCTTCTGGTCCTCTTTCTCAAAGAAAGATGCTCACTGACCTGTAGAGTTGCTTCTGTGGGTTTTTTGTTTTTTGTTTTGTTTTGTTTTGGTATCTAGGCCAAAGGAAGCTGTGTACATAAGTGAAGATTTCTACACAAAGAAAATGATGCATAGTCCCCTGAGCCACATCAGTGAGAAGTAGGTAGAAGCCAGTCCTTTGCTGATCTGAGCAGACCTAATGAAAAATCCCGAGTCAACAGGTGTTTATTAGGTACATGTGGGGTGCGTTATATAACAGTAACCTAGAATAACTGCATCCCGGACCTTTTTCTCAGAAAGCTTAAGAAGACAAGTTTATCTTCAGTGAAACTGTCAGAGAATAGTAGGCAGTAAACAATGGATTATTATAGACAAGTACATATTAAATAGAAACTTAAGTACTCATCCTCATACTTGGTAAGTTGTTATCTCAAAAGTTGAATGATGTACCCTGCATTATCCCCCCCAGAAATTGCCAAGACTTGAAACTTCAGAGTCTTGTTTTTCTCTGTAACAGTGATAGAGGGTGTTTGGCTCCTCATGTGGAGGAAATAGTCATGAATTTGAGAGGTAAGTTCTCTACCTGCTCATCTTGCTTTCCGCCCTTTTTGCAGGATGAAGAATCCCCACCTGAGGGCCAAACTGGCTGAGGTATTGGAAGCAGTGATGCCTCACCTGGATCAGACCCCAAACCCCTTGGTATCCAGTGTGTTCCACCGGAAACGTGTGTTCTGCAACTTTCCCTATGCATCCCACCTTGCAGAAGCTCTAATCAAGGTCTTTGTGGACATTGAGTTTACAGGTAACACAGCCTAGAACTGAGAAGCACCATCATTTATTGAATATCTGCTATGTGCCGGTCTTGATGCTGAGTGCTTTTTTTTTTTTTTTTTTTTTTTTTTTTTTTTTTTTACATTGTCTCATTAATTTGTCACCATCTGGCAAGTTTTCCTGTACTGTCTTCATTGTACATATAAGGATGTGAGTGCTCGAGAAGATGAATTGTCTGTCTCTTACAACCACGTGGTAGAATCCGTTTGATTCTGTCTCACATCAAAACATATGCTCTTACCAATTTTATTATATGCTTGATTTAATCATGCTCAAACAAAGCAGGCTGTCCGATCACAACCTAGGTCTTTATTTTTTTGTGCCTCATAATTGCAGAATAGTGGGATGGTTCTTTTTTTTTTTTTTTTTTTTTTTTTTTTTTCCCCTTGTTTTTCAGTAAACTCTATCTCCAACATCGGCCTCAAACTCATGACCCTGAGATCAAGAGTAAACTACCCCATCTCAGTAAACAGTATATGTTAAGTGGTTATTTAAGACCCCCTTTAAAAGAGATGTCCTACCATTCAGTAATAAATATGACTAACATTTAAAGAGACATTTAACATTGTACTGACTGCCTTTCCTATTTGGATTTTGGCTTTGTCACTTGCTCACCTCTGAGCCTTAGTTTCCTCATCCATAAAACGGGTTGAAGTGATGACTGACATAGTGCATGTAAACCTTCATAATACATACACTGTCACACAATAAGGTACTGCATTTAACTCATATAACCATTTCAGCCCTTCACTTGCACTGGTAGAGAATGTATTACAATTCCTGTTTTATTTCTGAATTTGCAAGTTGAAAATGTTAAAAGACTTGTATTAAGTGGAGCCTAGATGTTCTGACTACAAATCCCACGTTCTTCTTTTATTATATGACCCAAGCTACAGAGATCAAGTGGTTCCTCTGATAGGTCAAAACAGTGTAAGCATCAGGTTTTTAGCCCCTGACCTGATTTACCAGTTGGTCTCACAGCTTGGATGTTAGCCGTGAAGAATGTGGGCGTTACTTAGTTTCCCATTTTGCAACAGTTGTCACTGCCACTGCCACAGTGGCCAGTTCAGAGGCCTCGTTCAAAGTCTGAAAGTACCCTACGTTTGGATATCGAGGCCTTTGTTTCCCCTGGCTTTTATTCTACAACTTAGACCGTGTCCTTTTCAGCATAAGGTACCCTTTACATCTGTCTCCCTCTTGCTCTGTCAGTAAGGAAATAAGTAAACACTTGGCTGTAACTCTGGGCCTTTATCAACTCCCCAGGGCAGATTTTGCCAGTAGTGTTGACACATTCAGAATGAAATAAAGTAGCTCCCCGTGGACATAAGCTCTTACTCTTTCTCTGATAGCACTCCCTTTGCTGGCTTTTTGCTCTTGCCCTTTTCCAGGAGACCCCCATCAGTTTGAACAGAAGTTTAATTACCGACGTCCCATGTATCCCATCCTAAGGTATATGTGGGGAACGGATACCTATCGAGAGAGCATTAAGGTGAGAGAGCTTTCACTGAAGCCAAAGCTGATTGACCCAGAGTTTTACTTCAGATAAGTCCCAGTGAGTTTCGGTTCAGTCCTAAAATGCTTTTGTCTTGGGCTGGGACTTACAGGATCTGGCTGACTATGCGTCAAAGAATTTAGAAGCCATGAATCCTCCACTTTTCCTCCGCTTTCTCAACCTGCTAATGAACGATGCCATCTTCCTTCTGGATGAAGCCATACAGGTGAGAATAGATAAAGAAATAATTTTTAAAACGTATTGAGCTGCCCCTAATTCATCAAATAATGATCAATACGTACTTTTTACCATCAAATTATATCAGAGCAATCCTTATGCCCCTAGTAGCAGTTTGGACACCAAAAATTTCTGAGTAGTAGTGTACCACCCACCTTGCCATTGCAGAGCTTGATAGGTGTTGTTCCATTAGAGATCAAGATCACGGGGCCATTGAAGCCTCCTAAGCTAGGATGATATTTTGGCAGAGTGGAAAAGAAAGTGTGTTGGGGCGCTTGGGTAGCTCAGTTGGTTAAGCGTCCAGCTCTTGATTTTGGCTCAGGCCATGATCCCATGATTCTTGGGATCGACCTCCAAGTCAGGCTCTGCACTGACAGTGAGGAAGGAGCCTGCTTGGGATTCTCACTCTCCCTCTCTCTGCCCTTCCCCCACTCATGCATACATGTGCGCTCTTTCTCAAAATAAGTAAATAAACTTTAAAAACGAAAACAAAAACAAGGTAGAAGAAAGTGTGATGAAGCCAAACTAAGGTACACTGGCAGGATTCATCAGGCCAGCACCACAAAAAGAAATCAAGAGGACCTTGCGTTTGGTCAGTGACTTTCAGCCACCTTCCATCCCATCTCATCAGTAACAGTGACTCACACAAGGCAATGATTCTTACCCCTTTCCTAAAAGATCCTGATTTTTGCACCACCATTTGGGGGGGGCAAAAAAATCTCTGGTTTAGGTTATTTTTTCACATAAACACTACCAAGTCACCAATACTCCCTCTGTCCATGGCCTCCCAGATCTTTATATTTGAAACATAAGTTTCCCAAAGTATACACCAGGGTGCCTATCAGCAACTTCAGTGCATCATATCCTTACCCACCCCTTACGGAGCTGCTTATTGCTCCTGTTAAAACTCTCCCTTCTCTGTGACAGGTGTCAGATAGATAAGGCAGTGACCCAAAGGGAGAGGAAGCTGGTGAACAGTGAAGGTAGTCTGTTGGACAGACACAAGGTCCTCAGAGTGATTAGCAGCACCCCAGTAACTTGTCTTTAATTTGTGAGAAAAGCGCCTGCTTTTTTCATAAGCCCATACTTTGAGATTTTAGATAGGTTTTCTTAGAAAACAAGAACAAGTCCTGTAAGAAACAGCCCCTTCTAAGCGAGAGCCATGTGACACAGAGAATGACACCAGATGGCATTGTCATAGGACTGTAAGAATGAGAAGTAGACAGTGTTTAATATTTATGCTTCTCCTTCCAGACAGCTTGCATATTTGATAGAGCTTTGTTTTTTGATAGGCAGTTTTGGAGTCTGGTTTTTTGTTTTGTTTTGTTTTCCATTTTTCAGGAAGGATTCATTCTTTTTTTCACTTCAGCCTGTTTATTTTTGCCTAGGTTTCCTACATTACACTATTTACCCCCCTTTCTACTTCACAGGCCATACTGTGCAGACTAGAACTACCCGTAAGTCGACCCAAGCTCCGTCTATATAGAGCTCCAGCCCTATGCTGAGAAATAAAGGCTCGTGTTTCTCGCATAGTGCCTGGTTTTCCCAACTTAGTAAACTAGATTTTAAGCAGAACCACTTAAATACCATCTTCCCTTCAAATGCACTTTCGTCTCTGATACGTTTCACCTCTGATTTCTGTAGTATCTGAGCAAGATAAAGATTCAACAGATTGAGAAAGACCGAGGCGAATGGGATAGTCTGACTCCAGAAGCCCGCCGAGAGAAGGAGGCTGGCCTGCAGATGTTTGGACAGCTGGCACGTTTCCATAACATCATGTCCAATGAAACAATTGGTACCCTTGCCTTTCTGACATCAGGTAAGGACCCAAAGCACTGTCTTCCCAAAAAGTCCAGTGGTCAAGACCTGCTTCATGTGAGGGATCAGCCCAGATGAAACCAAGAGTTCAGACTCTGGTGATGTGTGCTCCATCGGGAAATGAATCACTAGAGAAGCTTCAAGATGCCCATTGTTGACATGGGAAATGTTCACCCTCACACCGCTACCAGAAAGCATAAGTTGGTATGATTTTTCTTGAGGACAAGGTAGCCATATAAATATATGTGGGGGGGTGTGAGCATGTGTGTGTGTGTGTGTGTGTGTGTGTGTGTGTGCGCGCGCGTGTGTGTTAACCTGAAGAATATTCTTGAACTCTGATTAAATGTGGTAGGTCCACATTTATCTCCACTCCCTCTAGAGCTAGTGTCCCAATTCAGTAGCCACTTGCCACATGTAGCTATCGGACATTTTTAATTGGGCTAGTCTGGGGGCGCCTGGGTGGCTCAGGCAGTTGAGCATCCAACTCTTGATTTCGTTGCAAGTCGTGATCTCACAGTTTCATGAATTCGAGCCCCACAGCAGGCTCTGCCCTGACAACGTGGAGACTGCCTGGGATTCTACCCCCCCTTGCCAAATGAATAAAAATTGTTTTTTAATAAATAAATGTGGCTAGTCTGAATTGAGATACATAAAACACCTCAAGACTTAGTATTTTTAATGTAAAATATTTCATTAATAATTTTATATTGATTACATGTAAAATGATAACCAAGGATCACCAGACATTTGAAGAAATCCTCCAACATGAAACATAGATATTTGATGAAAACTTAAAAAAAAAATCTTTAGGGGCGCCTGGGTGGCTCAGTTGGTTGAGCATCCGACTTTGGCTCAGGCCGTGATCTCACAGTCTGTGAGTTTGAGCCCCGTGTCAGGCTCTGTGCTGACAACTCAGAGCCTGGAGCCTGCTTCAGATTCTGTGTCTCCTCTCTCTCAGCCCCTCCCCCACTCATGCTCTGTCTCTCTCTGTCTCTCAAAAATAAATAAACGTTTGGGGCACCTGGGTGGCGCAGTCGGTTAAGCGTCCGACTTCAGCCAGGTCATGATCTCGCAGTCCATGAGTTCGAGCCCCGCGTCGGGCTCTGGGCTGATGGCTCAGAGCCTGGAGCCTGTTTCCGATTCTGTGTCTCCCTCTCTTTCTGCCCCTCGCCCGTTCATGCTCTGTCTCTCTCTGTCCCAAAAATAAATAAACATTGAAAAAAAAATTTTTTTTAAATAAATAAAGAACAAGAAAGAGCTCTTGGACATTAAAAATATGACAAGTAATTTTTACCTGTCAGAATGGTTAAAAGATCAACTTAAGGGGCTGTTCCATGAAAGCAGAACAGAAAGACTTAGAATGGAAAGGATAAGAAAATAAAGGATCAATGTAGAAAGTCTTAAAAGAGAAAAATGGAGTGGAGGAAATTATCAAAGAATAATACCAAAATTTCTCAAAGACTAAAAGCTTCTACACTGAAAGAGCCATCATGTGCCCAACACAAGGAATTTTTAAATTTTCACACTAAGGTGTTATTGTGACAGGAAATCAAGGTAAAGAGAAGATCCTAAAGGGTCCCAGAGAAAAGTCCGGTCATGTCAATGGTTTAAGTATGAAATGTCTTTGATTTTCATAGCAGTGACAATGGAAGCTGGCACACACTCCTCATGGAAAATAGTTTTGCAGCCTAGAACTCTAGCCAGCCAAATTATCACTTCTGTTTGAGGGTGAACCTGAGGACATTTTTAGACATGAAGGTGTCAGATTTACTTCCAGAATACTCTTTCTTGAGAAGCTACAAAAAGATCTTCTCCATTAAAGTGAGAGAGTAAACCCAGAAGGAGGAAGGTGGAATCCCCTAAGAGAGACACAGGAGAGGTGCCCAGGATGTGGTAAAAGGAGCTTGTGTGACCACCACACAGCAGGCCTATAGAGCCAGGAGTCCAGATGGGAGCTTCCAGAAGGAGCAGTTCGAAAAAGAAGGGCTAGAAATGATCCTATCGAGAGCTTTACATTTCTTGGGGAGAGTTTAGGAAGATTGAGTGATTGGTACTCTAAAAATAAGCAAGCCAATTTGTTAATAGTTCTATTAAAAACTGTATATGTATTACTTTATATACGTAATCATTAGGACACTATGTCACTCTACTGTGAATGATATTTATATAATCTTAATGACTATATACTGGGAGGATTTGTATTTATGAAAGAGAGACAGGAAATAAGAGTTAAACTCTCATCGGTAGTGGTGTCAATATTGACAGTGACTAAAATTATAAGATCCAGAACCAGTAGTACTAAGCAAGCCATATCGTGCTGTTTGGCTTCTTAAAACCTGACAAGTGTTAATGTTTTGTTTTACATTTCTGTGGAGTTTATGTCTTTTGCCCTAGCAATTCCTTAAAAATTCATTGTAAGGAAGTAGTAAGTCTACAAAATATGTACACAGTGAAATTCATCAGTAAGTGAAATGCCGGGGCGCCCGGCTGGTTCAGTCGACGGAGCACTGCAACTTGGTGTCAGGGCTGTGAGGTGGAGCCCCATGCTGGGTGTGGAGATGACTTAAGAATAAAATCTTTTTTTCAATAAATACAAATAAGTGAAATGCTTATAGTAGAATGGCTAGCAGTAAAGATGAATAACTTAAGGTGAAATCGCACACTGCAAAACTATGTGGTCGTTAAAAAGAGTGCAGGGGCTCCGGGTGGCTTAGTTGGTGGAGCATCTGACTTTTGGTTTTGGCTCAGGTCGTGATCTCACAGTTCATGAGTTCAAGCCCCGCGTCGGGCTCTGTCTGTGCTGACGGCGCGGAGCCTGCTTGCGATCTCTCTCCCTCCCTCTCTCTCTGACCCTCCCTGGCTTGTGCACGTGCTTGCTCTCTCACTCTCCGTCTCTCAAAAAATAAATACTTTTTTTAAAGAAGTGCAAATCATTGCTATTCAGCAGAAGTCTGTCTGATGGAAATGCTCTGTAAATCTGGACTAATACTGTAGATACTAGCCATGTGTGGCTGTTGAACACTTGCAGTGTGGTTAGTGTGACTGAGAGACTGAATTTTAAATTAAATAGCCTCATGGGGCCAGTGGCTACCATGTTGGACAACACAGGAACATACGTTTACTAAAATGGTAAGATAGTTATGATATAGTTAACTGAAAAAGTAAGTTACAGAATATGTACACCATGATAATCATTTTGTTTTAAAAATGTGTATGTAAATATGGACAAAAGCTAAAAGGAAGTATTAGCAAAATGTTGACAGTGTTTATTTCTGGGTGCTAGGTTTATATTTTGTTTTTGCTCACTGCAGTTCTCTAACACAACTGCAATGAAAATGTATTACTTGTATAATTTAAAAACTATTTCCCAGAGGTCTCCAAATGAAACTCTAAGACATAATAAAAGATGGTTTATAGGTTGAGTTTTCATAGACTTTGCCTTTTTTTCTAGAGATCAAATCACTCTTTGTGCATCCTTTCCTGGCTGAGCGCATCATCTCCATGTTGAACTACTTCCTGCAGCACCTGGTTGGCCCCAAGATGGGGGCCTTAAAAGTCAAGGACTTCAGTGAATTTGACTTCAAACCCCAGCAGCTCGTATCAGATATCTGCACTATCTACTTAAATCTTGGGTACCTGAGATTTAACTGGGCAAGCCAGAGGGAATGCTAATGTTTAATTTGGGATTTTGATAATGGAATGACTGGTGATTATGTGCGAATAGAAAAATGGTTCCTTTCCAGTTGGTTAGATGAAGGAATTTTATGTAGTTTTAATAATGAGGTGTTGTATGACCTATGGGACATTGTTCAGATTTTTCAACATTCTGCCTTTATCTGTGCAAAGATAAACTTTACTAGTTTTAACCAATGTTTGGAAAAGCAGTATTCTTTTAAGGTTGCAGGATACTTGATAGACTTCCTTGCTAAAAACTAGAAGAAATCTTTCTATAATCAAAAGAACATTCGTGGCGTGTAAGTGGTGGGGAGCCTTGTTCCTCGACCCAGATGTTATCTCCTTCATTGACCTACCCTCTGATGTTCAGTTTTTTTCTGATGCTGACCTTCCAGGGATGAGGAGAACTTCTGTGCCACCGTGCCCAAGGATGGACGTTCCTATTCCCCAACTCTCTTTGCACAGACAGTCCGAGTCCTGAAGAAAATAAATAAGCCCGGGAATATGATTGTGGCTTTCAGCAACTTAGCAGAGAGAATCAAGGTGAGGAGGAGAATTTGTTTATTAATGTATTCAATAGAAATCGCTTTGTTGACTCAGCTGTTCTTCTGGTTACTCTATTTCAAAGGGTAAAAAGGATATTGTCTTGAGAAAACAAACATGATTCTTGCCAGGCAGTGAATAAGTAGAACTACCTTGTTTTTATTTTAAGTTTGTATTTTAAATCCAGTTAGTTAACATACAATGTTGTATTAGTTTCAGGTGTACAATATAGTGATTCAGCACTTCCACACATCACCATATCGTATCATCACTACCATATTAATTCTCTTGTCAACACGAGAGGGAAGAACAGAAAATCGATTTAAGAAACTTCTACTGGAAGAGAAGAATGTACAGATTTTTATAGGCTGTTTTTATGAAAACTTTTCTGCACAGTGTTAACAATAGGTTTGAAAATCTGTCATTAACCCAGAACTTTTTCGAATAGAATTCAAGATCAGTTGTTTTTAGTCGTTTGATTTTTATGGATTTTCTCTGTTCATTATATTTGTACTTAGTAGTTGGCTTATATGGGAATAGTCATACATTTGATAGATAAAAATACTGTCTTATATTCAGCTAATCCCTCTGGTTGAAGTTTGATCGACCTTCATTAGCATTACAAAGAAGGGAAAATCATGGCACCGACTCTAATAGAAAACCTTCCTTATTAAAAAAAAAAAAAAAAGAGTGGTGTCTGGGTGGCTCAGTCAGTTAACCCTCCGACTCTTGATTTCAACTCAGGTTATGATCTCACGGTTCATGAGTTTGAGTCCACATCGGGCTCTGTGCTGACAGCTCGGAGCCTAGAGCCTGCCTCGGATTCCGTGTCTCCTCTTTCTCTGCCCCTCCACCGCTCACACACTCTCTCTGTCTCTCTCTGTCTCTCTCTCTCTCTCTCTCTCAAAAATAAATAAACATTAAAAAATTTTTTTAAATAAATAAACTGTTAAAAAAAAAAAAGCAAATCTTCCTTACTGACATCAGTGTTCCCTTCCTTGAGCTACTTTTTGAGTTGGGTTCCTTCTTGCCTAGAGCTTACCCAGGTGGCTTCTTGAGGAACTAGAGTCATGAAGAGATCAAAATGTTGAAGCTACTTTAAACTCCTCCTATACCTGTTTGTAACTAAAACCAGAAGCTGCCTTTCATACATAGACTGCATGAGTGATGGAGCACTGTGTAAATAATTCCTCCCACCATCCCCTTTTCAATTATGACATTTACAGTAGGGCTGTTGCCAGCAGGATCTCCCATGTGATGTGTTTCTTTTTCTGTTAACACTTAAACCATCTCTAGTCATGACCGCCAGCAGCTGAGGCAAACTGAAGTTTCAGAGTTAGGGTTGAATGTTAAATTCGCTTTTATAATTCCTGTCTTGGCTTGCGTAGAAAAGAAGGCTGAGGATTGTCATTGTCTCGTAAAGAACACCCAAAAATAACCCTTGAAGATTAAGGTATAGTCAGTGAGCATTTTGAATTCAGCGACTCTGTGAAGTCACCTTAACTACCAGGTTTTGTGCTTAGTCTCTAGCAGACCTCCAGCAACAGGAAGAGGAGACGTACGCAGACGCCTGCGATGAGTTCCTGGATCCCATCATGAGCACGCTCATGTCCGACCCTGTGGTGCTGCCATCCTCCAGAGTCACTGTGGATAGATCCACCATTGCCAGACATCTGCTCAGGTATGCCGGCCCCAAAGAGCAGCCCCAGGCAGCAGATGCACGTTTGTTTGCTCTCCTCTTTTCGCAGTTTCCTAATAGAGAGCTGTGCGCCCAGTAGGTGTCCCACGTTCTTGATTTATTAGTGAGCTGGGGAGGCATTTCGGTAGAGGTGTATCGCTTGATTGGTGAGGATTTAAACCTCCACAACAAGACACTCCGTTGAGAAATTTCCTTAAGGAAGTCCTCTCTGACAGTGTATGTTACGAATTAGGTCAACCTGAAGTAGAAGTTGACTGAAACTTGTTTTAATTTTATTTCAGTTGTAAAAATATAAACGACCAGTTTGTTTTGTTTAACTTGGTTTTTACACTGTAGCCATCACATGGGTTAACCCATCTGCTGCTGCTGCTACGGTACTCAGCCATGGTGGCCACGAGGTTCACCAAGCCTGCAGGCCATACGTGCTACATTAGATAGAAATGGGTACTGAGAGACTCTTCCTACTTAGAAATTAAGTTCTAGAAGTTGACCCAAACTTAAGGAAATACTGTTGCTTAAACATCGCAAAAAGGGATTTTCGACTTCATGGTATTTGGTATTAAGCATTTACTATATGCATAAGGCTGTACCAGATGGTATGTCTTTTCCAAAGCATCAGTGAAAACTTATATTTTATTGTGGCCTCAGGATACAGACAGAAAACTTAGCAGCCCTTAAAGTATACTAGAACCTCTTACCTGTCAGGAAACCATAATCTGCATTGACTTGTGTAGCAGTCAGCCAACTAACTCAGGTATCAGTCTACAGGGCTTTATCCCTTAAGATCTTAGACTGTCTCGAGAGTCTGTCACTAAAACTACAAACAGCTCTTTACGCTGACATGAGTGCACAGGCTCTCTGCCTCAGGGAAATCCAATCAAGGATCGTCCTGAACAGCAATGTCAAAATAAAGTTTGTTAAGAAGCAGAGAGACCACGTAGCTAAAGAGTCTGCAGAACACCCAAAAACCACTCTTTCTCATCTCATTCTTTCTGGCCTCAAGTCGGCACTCGACTCTGTCACAGTGCGGTCTAGCTTCAGTCCCACAGGGAGATGCACCAGCTGGTCTAGCTTGGGCTCCGGGTGTCAGAACTTGCGGAAATAACCCCTTTCCCTTTCTCTCTTTGTCCCAGTGACCAAACCGATCCCTTTAACCGTAGTCCCCTCACCATGGACCAGATCCGGCCAAACACAGAACTAAAAGAAAAAATACAACGGTGGCTCGCAGAGAGGAAACAACAACAAAAGGAGCAACTTGAATAAATTACTGTGAACTAAACGAACCAAAAACCCAATCCCAGAGTGTAGATAAACAATTGTTTGTGGTTTCTCTCTTTTTTTGGTTCTGTTCCTTTTCTTTTTCTTTCTTTTTTTTTTTTTTTTTTTTTTTTTTTTTTTTTTTTTTTTTTTTTTTTTTTTTTACTAGATTAGAGAACTGCTCTTGCTCAAATTATGATACTTTAGATTTATTCCTAAGAACTTTACAGTGCTCTCCTGGCTTGCAGGAAATTATGTTTATTATAGCAGCACCAAGTTTAGAAACGATTGCTAATTGTACCCTTTGTTCTCTCTTCCTACTCTTTTTTCTTCCTTTTCCTACCTTAAGTTATATTAACTTTAGCTACTAAAACTTCCTGCCATCTTACTGTTGTTCTTCCAAGAACTGCTCAAACACCTTTGGTGAACACGGCTTTTAAGTATATGGGGTCACATATTTCAGTGACAGCTGACACCACCAGAAAGTCCTATGTCGTCAAGCTATTTACTAGTCTTCATGACCCGGATGTCAGCCCTTTTCTTGTTACGGCTCCGCCATGTTACAGAATAACCTTTCACATAAAAGCAGATACCTTGATGTTTGAGTAGACTTTTGAATATAATAGATGAGATTTTCAAAAAGGAATCTGATGCAATTTCTGTTGGTAGTTCTTAATTTTGTGTTCTCTTGTAACTCAACAGATCCCATGAAATCGCCCCTGGGGTTATCACTACCCAAAAATATATACCCCATAATATTTTTAGGAGGATTGGTAGGACAGACGTGAATTGTTGACACTTTCTTCAGAAAATTCTGAGGTGAAAGAAAAAAGGAAGAAAACTTGCTATAAGGACTAGGCTTGAGTAGAAAAGTTAGGGAACAAATATGGTAACCATGAAAAATGTCATTTTAAGACACTCATCAACAGCATATCTCAGTATATATATACACCATGTACATTTTTATATTGGTCTAGTGTAAACTGAGTACCACTCTATATTGTCTCTTCCATGGTAAGATGTATGCAGTGTGTGGCCATGTTTACTGACACACTTATTCTAGACAAAATTCTGAGACTATAACATGTATATAGTTAACGTTTGTTTGGGCCTGTGACCCAATTTCCAAGATCTGCTTCTAACTCAGCCTTAGATCATCAATTAGCAAAGTAGGAATTTGAGCACAACCTTGTCCACGGCCAATTTAAATATCCACTTAGCCCTGTGTAGTTAGCAGGCGGATGGGCCCCACTTGTCCAAGTTGAGCTCGCGCTCCCTTCTCAAAGGTGCAGCTTACCATGCTAAGTGAGGCACATTCCCCCATGGACTACAGCACTATCCCCGTAAGCCTGAATATATCATAAGTGACAGAGTGATATGATCTAGAAACAGGGGTCACTGCTTCATTTTTAACCGTGGCCTCTTTCAGAGAAGATGGTAGTTGTACGATATTCCAGCACAAGTTGCTCTAAGCAGTCCTTGATGTGCTTTTGATGGTGTCACTTGGAAAACCTCATATCAGCGGGAATCCCACACTAGGTAAAGTTGCCTGTTGCTGTTGCTTATAATGAAAAAAAAAGGAGTCTAGGACTCTTGGAAATGCCAGAATGTAAGATACTAATTTAGTCTGCAACCTGGGCCTTTCAGGCTTGGGTTAACAGGATTTGTTTATTTTCTTAAGATGAGCTTCATTTCATATTTATTAGCCTCCTGCTCTGCGAATGAACTGTGTATAAAAAAGTAAGCTTCTATCTACTTGCATTTATTTTCCAAACCCAATGTAATAGGATTTTTTTTTTTTTTCTAAGCGCGGAAAAGACCAGTTTTAGGACAAAATTGGAGGAAAAATGGATACAAAACCTCAGAAGGCAGCTGTTGCCAGCAGCTTTCTAGTTAACAACCTCTCTGCTGCCTCTTGTATCTGTGTCTGTACTCTACTTCTGTGGTCTTCAGATTGTAAGCCTTTTCTGGCAAGCCTTTTTTTTTTTTTTTTTTTTTTTTTTTAATTTCCTGAAACTTTTTATGAATGGCTGTGGCACCATTAATGCTGCTGGGTATCTTTAAACTCATCACAAAAGCAAGTGTTTAGCTTAAGGCCACTGGTGGTTAGGAAACCAAGTGTCCTCTGTGCCTTTTTTTCTTTTTCTTTCCTTAATTTAAGAACATCCCAAAAACGAGACTGAAAAATTATCATCTTGATACACCGTGGTGTATATACGCGCTCAGAAGCTTGAAGAGATGTTTTGTTGTCTGAAACTCAGAAGCAGCTCTAAGTCTATTCGAGCAGACTTTCTGATATCCCTAGTTTTAAGTGCTGGCTTTGCTGGAGTATGATAGGAAAATGAAGACTCTTTATCAGCTCTGGGATTGCTTACCAAGAGGGTAATAACTAAACTTGGAAAATTATTTAAGTAGGTTTTATCAAGCAATCTTGGTTTATTTGGTTGTTGTTGTTGTTTTTTTTTTTTTTTTAATATATATAGTTTTTAATGGATATGTAAAAACAAAGAAACTTTAAAAGTTTTTTACCGGTGCAGGTGAAGGTGCCAGTTCCTATTTGGTATCACAGTCTACAAAAGCTTCGTTACTTTATTTGATGCTGGTTGCTAAGCAGCCATTGCCCAGAGCAGAAGTCTACTGGGTGCCTTTACAAGCCAGAGAGGCTGACGCTGCACTGTTGATGTCATATGAGGAAATAATGCACATGCTCTAACTGCAACACAGGAAAACCTAGAAGCAAATAAAAAAATAAAACAACAAAAAGGTTGATTGAAATAAAATTTGATCAACGTAACTGTATTTTGAAACATTCCAGGAAGGTTACTTCTTGTCAAACTTGCCTGGGGGTGTTTGTTCAAAGCTTGTATTTAATAAATGAACACCTGACTTACAACCTTTGTTATCACTTCCTTCATTACGGTATGAAAAGCTAGTGGCAGTTTCAGAAATCCCCTTGAAATTTTAGAGGACTCTGACCTTCACTTCTGTTCAAGGTGCTATCAAATGTGTGTCACCTGGCTGACCTGCCTTACCAGGCTTCTGGTCCTGGAGTTACCCAGATGAGTCTTGGGGCATGTGTTTTCCTAATCAGTTCACTTCTGGCTTCACTTTTCTTTATCAGGCCTAAACCCCAGGTCTTTCATTTTAATCATTCACTACCATGTTCCCTGTCTTGCCCTTTGTTTCTATACCTCTGCCATGTAAGACCTCAACCTGGATTAACCCAGTCATTCCCCTCTGTTCCAGTATCCAAGCTCCAGACCACTGTTGTAGGAAAATGACAGTCTTTAGAGCAGTGTGAACACAAATCTGTGGTTGCCAACAGTGCCCAGCAACCCTTGTGTGTGTCCAGAAATTCAAGCTTTAACCTTTTTTCTCCAGTTTCTCCGACCTGTCACATAGCCTTCACTGAAGATCTTGCTTTTTCACTTCACTGGGAAGATAAAGACTTCAGAATTTCCACTTTCAAATTTCTCTCCCATCATCCCATCCATGGAAAAGGCCCCATGCTTCCAAGGCTAATCCCACAATTTCTGGTCTCTTCAGGTATCAATTCTCCATCTACCTTATTTATGTTCCACATCCTTATTTAGCTTTCTGACTCCTCTTCCTTTATAGCCATATTCACTCACTCTGGTTTCTATCCTAATTTTCTCAAACTGCTCTAATATTTCCATATTGGTAAATTAACTTTCTCATCCTTAATTTGATTTCTCTGGAACATTTGGCAGCTGATTTTGGCACTGAAATGATGCTCTTCGCTCCTTGATATCACCCCTAATTTTTCTTTCCACCTCTGTTCCATCAATCAGATCTGCTCAGGTTTCTCCAGGGTACATACCATTATGTTTTTCTCATCAAATGCCACTTCCCTACATTATAATCTTTGCTTCCGGTCATATTAAACGATAAAGTTTCAACCGTGTAGTAGAGAGCTTCTGTTACACACCAATTCAATCTTTTCTGGAAGTCTTCCCAGATCACCACCACTCATGGGATACTGATGCCCCTTGCCTGTTTACACTGAAACCTCTTGGCGATCCCAACTCCGCCAC